TTTTATTCACTTAAGGGCATTTTTGTCTTTTGAACACCATTAGGCCATTTTAAAATTATTCACTTGTGAAAATGTCAAAAAGCAATTAGAGTCCTTTCACGAGGCCTTTTTTTAAGTTACCCTCATTGTCTTTCATGTAAAATGTAACGGGCGCTAGAAGAATCTCAGTATTATACTTTTAAGTAAAAATGTTTACGTACATTTAAGAGGAAGCAGCTACATTAAAGATACATTTTCGATGAAGCCCATGAAAAAATTTAGATTTGAAATAATAGAATTTAAAAATACTAAAATTATTAAATTACATTAAAAACTCAACAACAGTCCAATGAAGAAATTATGCAATATACTTGGTTATATCTTGAAAGTACAACAGTTGCTTATTTTGAAAAACAATTTTGCTACCTATATATCATGTTTGACACCGTTATAAGGTGACAGCTTTTTGTACATTAATTTAAAAAATTTTTTAAACAACTAATGGCTCATATTTTGACACATAAAGGAGTGTCAAACTTGTTGTACACTAACAAGGTTAATTCTTTGAAAAATATTATTGTAGAAGGACCATACTGCATGTACATAAATATTGATACACTGGTTTACACCCCATACGAGTTGCCAGATTTTGGTACATTATCTTGACAACATCTTTTACAATCAACTGCCAGATTTTTAACACATAAATGGCATCAATCAAGGTGTACGCTTTGTGTGTACAAGTAATTTAATCCATTGTGGAAAGACCATGCTACATGTACATAAAGATTGATACATTGTGATGTAGGATGAATTAAAATTCAAGCCAAGAAGAAGAAGAAGAAGAAGAAGAAGTCGGTAGGGAAGGAAAAAAAACGTAGGGAAAAGGGAAAACGTGACAACGGCCAATATTAAATTTTCGTCAAATCATTAACTATCCCGACTACTATGAAAAATCTAATAAATAGTAAAAATCTAACGGGTTTGAGTCAACCAACTACTACAAGTCCAATAATAATAAAAAAATGTAATTAATAAAAATCAATAATAACATAAATCGTGATGTCCGCATCAACTCTTCCGGGGTGGGAGAAAATTCGATCTTGTTGAGTGCATAAACTTCTACCATGGGGGACGATCTCTCGTAAGAACCAAATATCGAAACTCTATACTTGATAGTAACGAAAATTGCAGCTTATTCTCAAGAAAATGATTCGGCAAAGGTGGATGATCTCTCCATCTAATCAAGTATTGATACTGGACTTCGAATAACAAACACTCATCCAACTCATCTTCAACACTTTCATTTGATTGTGCATAATGAGGAGCACAAGAAGCTAGCATCGTAGACTAGCCTGTAGAGAAAAATGATCGCAACATTGAAGGCTCAAATGGGCTCCGATTAGTAAACAATTCTGCTGTATTGGAAATATAACTTT